TGTGTGTGTGTGTGTGTGTGTGTGTGTGTGTGTGTGTGTGTGTGTATGTGTGTGTATGTATGTGTATGTATGTACATGTATATATTTAATCTAAATATTTCAGGCATGGAAATGTATTCGGATGGTTGAAATAATTAAGTAAGTGAGAAAAATCAAATATATCCATTCCTTTTTTTTTCTTTTAATTTTTTTTATAAAACTGAAATTTTAATTCATTTTAGGTTCCATTTTTCTTCCTATTTTAATTCCTTAATTCCTATTTTTATTTTCAATTATACATTTGGTTTGTTTGCTATGTATTGCTAATGTTCGGTGGGTAAAAAGGCCAGGTGGTTTGAATTGTGATATCATCATAAAAGAAACAAAAAAAGAAAGAAAGAAAAGAAATGATTTAAATTGAATAATGGCTTCTAGAAAAAGGCTTGATTTGATAAGGCTTATCTTTACGCAGTTGTACTGTTAAGAATTTATTGCTAAGAAATGATAAGAAGTAGTAGGAAAAGAGAAATTTGAAAATACCAGCCTGATAATGTATTTTGCTTAAATAATTTTATAAACGATTTTTTTTTTTTTTAGATAAAAACGAATATCAAATTATCAATTAATGTATACAGAACATATGGCTACGTTGACAGGCCAAACATTAGCAGATCGATATTTGATGACAAAACGTCTTGGTGATGGAACATTTGGCGAAGTGTTACTTGCTAAAAAACTTGATACCGGTGATAAAGTAGCAATTAAAAGGTTTTTTTTTCAATCTTGTATAATTAAAAATTTAATGTATTTTTGAATTTGAATTTTTCTCATCTTATGTAATTTAAATTTAATGTTTTTTTGAATTTGTATTTTTGAAAAAAAAAAAATTTCAAATGATCCTTTACTAATTTTTACTTCTTTTTTTTTTCTTTTTTAAGACACGAAAAATTATTCAAGGAAACATTTGTCATCAAATAATTTGATGACAAATGTTGACAGTTATTAGTCAAAGTATGAATCATTGTTAATTTTTAGAATGAAAAGGAAATTTTATTCGTGGAATGAAGCGATGGCATTACGTGAAGTGAAATCATTGAAAAAAATGAATCATCCAAATATTATCAAATTACGTGAAGTAATCCGTGAACATGATAATTTATATTTTGTTTTCGAATATATGCAAGAAAATTTATATGAACTTATGAAAGACAGGTAAGTGAATAGATATATGAATCAGTAATTAATATTAATTTATCAATGATTAAATTTCATTAAATTTATATGAATTTAATGAATGATGAATCATCCAAAAATATTATCAAATTATGGGAATTAATGATATTAACCAAATCCTGTTTTTATTGAATCTAGTAATAGGCGCTTTCTTGTGACAATCCAGCCTTTGATGATCAATGTCACATCGTATAAAAAAAATGGTGACCATGAATCTCGTATAAAAATTACAATACTTAGGAGAACTAAAGCGCCATAAAGCCCAATCAATAAGTGGGAAAAGTATGCAAGGATCTCTGATGTAAGGGATATTAGAATATCAGGATTAGTATCAGAATCTAACATGTTACACAATGATATGAAGACTACTACCGTACATTCTAATCAAGCGCCATGATCAAATGAAATGGCGCTAATGAACCAGAAAAGCGCACTTTGCACTAGAGCGGAATAAACACTAAAGAAGAAGACGGAAAGTAATTCATGAACATGACAATCAGAACATCACAGAAGTTGTTATCGTTATTATTGTTGTTATTGTTGTTGTTGATGTTATTGTTGTTTATTATTAGTGTTGTCGATGTTGTTAATTGTTGCTATCGTTTTATTGTTGTTGTTGCTGTTGTTGCTGTTGTTGCTGTTGTTGTTGTTGTTATTGTCGTTATTGTTGTTCCTGTTGTTGTTGTTCTCGTTGTTGTTGCTGTTGTTGCTATCATTGTTATCGTTGTCGTTATCGTTGTTGTTGTCTTGGTAATCATTGATGTTATATTATTTGTTGTTGGTATTGTCAATATTGATGTTGTTGCAGTTATTATTGTTGTTTGTGGGTAAAAAGAGATGAAACTTTAATGTTAATAATTATTTCATTTTTATATTGAAATAATTATCGTTGAACAATAATAATTTTTATATTTATTTAGCAAATTTGAAAATTTTTTCTTCATTTAGAGGGAAATTTTTTGAATAGATTTATTACAAATCATTAAATAATTAAGATTATATATTAGCTGAAATAATATTGGAAATAATTGAGTAAATCAATTATCATTTCGATTTTTTAATTACAATAATTTCTCTGAAAAATACATTATTCTATTAATTAGGCAAGTAAAATGTATCATCTTATTATTACACCAAAAATTTTGCTCAAAATTATCAAAAATTGTTGATGATAAAAATTGTGCAATTGAAAAGTTTTCAAATATAATCAATATATTAGGTTAGATCAATAAAATTAATTAAATTAATTAACTTGATAATTTCATTTTTTTTAGTTAACTTAATTTATTCCTAATATTTAGCTTTGCTTTTGTAGTGCAAAAAATTTTTTTCTCTAAATTAACTTCGTTTGTTTAACTATCATTCAATTATTTTTTTTTTTTACTTTTTCTTTTTAATAGCAAAATATGCTATTTTTAATTGTTTAAATAACAAATAAGTATGCATGTATGTATTTATTACCATATTTAATTAATTCGAATTCATTACTTTAATAATTGATATGGAGAATATTACTCTGACGGTTAATTTAATTATCATTTTAATTATAATGTTTACACCATTTGGTGACGATAAAATTGAAAATTAGAAATTATTTTTCGAATTTATATCATCGATTCTTCGAACCTTTAATTTTAAATAATATTCCATTACTAACTCTCAATATCTGGTGATTTATGAACGGAAACTGTAAGATTCGATAATGTAGGAAGGGAAACTGTAAGATTCGATAGTGTAAAGACGGAAACTGTAAGATTCGATAATGTAGGGATGGAAACTGTAAGATTCGATAATGTAGGAACGGAAACTAGAAAGGTTAATGCATGATCAGTGGACTAATTTCTCCTTTAAAAGTATATTTATATAGCAGAATAAAGGAAGAATAAATAAAATGAGAAAACTGCGAAAAGAAGAGTCGAATAAATAATGAATTTAAAGTTTAAAAAAAAAAAAAATTGGAGAAAAAAAATTTTTTTTTTCAAAAAAATAAAAAAGGAAATTTTGCATCATGTTTTTATTGAAAATTTTCAGAGATCGATATTTTCCGGAACATATTATACGGAATATAATTTATCAAGTATTACAAGGTTTAGCTTATATGCACAAAAATGGTTAGCTAATTGTTGCATTATTAATTAAAAATTTATCAAAATTAAAAAATGATAAATTAAAATTATGATGAAAAAAAAATGAGCAGAATCAAAAAAAAATTTTCTTCTTTTTTTTTTTACTTGGAAAATTGAACTAAAAATTTAATTTAGTTTATTACAAATTAATTAATGAAATTATTTAAGAAATATTTCTTTTTTTTTTTTCACAATAATTTCTAAAATGTACATATAATAGAAATTAGAATTACAATTAATTGTAATTAACTTATGTTAATTATAACATTAAAATAAAATGAAATAAATTATTTGAAAATTATTTTATACCATTTATTGATCTTATTTAGGTTTCTTTCATCGTGATATGAAACCGGAAAATATTATGTGTAATGGTACCGAACTTGTTAAAATTGCTGATTTTGGTTTAGCACGTGAAATTCGTTCAAGGCCACCTTTTACTGATTATGTTTCCACTCGTTGGTATGATTTCTTTTTTTTTTCCGTAAAGAAATTTTAGTTCATTTTTTCAGTTTTTCATTCTGGAAAATTCTATTCATTTCATTCATTTGTTCATTTCAAATTTCTTGAAGTTATGAAATTTTTCTTCCATCCATAATTTACCTTTTTAGTATTAATGCTAAATTTATTAATGTTCAACTTTTTTTTTCATATGTCAAACTTCTTTTGGCAATTTTTTCTCACATGTCAAAGGTCAATCCTTTTTAAGCTATAGTTTTAATAAAATAATTGTTAGAAAGAAAAGACTATTTCTATCAAAATGAACAGAGATGAAGTATGAGGACAAGTGGAAATTAAATTTAAATACATCTATTGATATGTGTATGTGTGTGTATGTGTGTCTGTCTGTGTGTGTGTGTGTGTAGTAAAAAATAGATAATAAGATAACTTTATGATATGATAGGAGGAGTGACCATTGGATATTTGGCGGATGATATGATAAGGGACATGATATGATAAGGAAAAAATTATCTGCTGAATCGTTAACTGGAAGCTTGCATTAACGATAATGTAATCATTATTAAAATAAATTTATAAATAATAATGAATGATTCTGATAACTGGAATACATTTATCAGTAAATAGTTTGTAGGTGATAATTAAAAAACCTAAAATAAATTTTGTTAATGATAATAATTGATGGATGCTTATGAATAAAGGAACATTCAATAAGGTGATAACATTGATACGTAGACAGAAGATTGCAAAGATCTTTTATAAATGAAACATTCGATAAAGCAGAGTTTAGGATAACATTAATTAATTAATATCATTAGTTTTATCTCAGGTAAGGAAAAAAAATGATCAAATTTTCAGGTATCGAGCTCCGGAAATTCTTTTACGTTCTACGTCATATAATTCACCAATTGATATTTGGGCACTTGGTTGCATTATGGCTGAATTATACATGCTTAGGCCATTATTTCCCGGTACATCGGAATTAGATCAACTCTTTAAAATTATTACAGTACTGGGAACACCCAATAAAGTCAGTATTCATTTAGAACAATTCAAACTCGAACAGTACTATTTTGATATGATTGAAAAGTATTAAGCTTAAGATTTCATTAATTAATGTTAAAACTTGAAAGTATGATTAAGATTGGCATGGAGTTATGGCAGTGGTTCCCAATCGATAATCCGCGAACCACGGGTGGTCCTCGAGGATTGCGGTACGATGAGTAGTAAAAAAAAAAAAAACGGAACGGGAAGCTGTTCTTATCAATATCGGATAAATCATTACTAATACTTCGAAAAATGTTTATTTTAAATCAACAAAA